CTTTTGTCGTTCCCTTTTTTGCCAGTTCGCAATATCACATTATAAGACTAAAAGGACTACTACTATTCTCACCTGCTGTGGATTTTTATACATTTGGAAACTTGTAAGTGCCATTTTTGTGTGTACGAATAGTTTATACATCTGGACCCTGATCAATAAAATATTTCTGATTCTGACACTGCAGGGAATCAGAGACGGTGAGTGACCAGTGATTAGAAAAATAACCATAAAGTTGATTGACTCTGCAAATTTAAATTCGACTAAATTACACTGGGATCATATAACTGTTTGTAGGAAGTTTTCATTTTGTGTATTAAGTTTTTACCTCCGCCAAGTAGGTTATGTTGTCGGTGCCGTTTGTTTGACAGTAGGATAACGGAAACCCAATTTTCTTCAAAATCAGGGGAAGCGTGTATCAGAATCCCGGGGTCGTTACAATAATTTCTCAGATAGGAAAACACACACTGACAGAAGTCGAAATGAGGATAATAAAAAATATATTTCACAAATGATCACACAAAGAGTTATGCAGTAATTTGAGATGTATTTAATGAGTTTCACAACAATAACAAGGCAGAACAAGGGCCATCTCAGAAGTACGTGTATGGCCACCCGCAGATCCTGGCCGACAACGTCATCTTGATTATGGCCATGTTCTTCCCCGCAGACTTCACTCCAGAGGTCCAGAGGTGTTCTTACAGTGCCTGGCTTGGACTCTGTCTGAGAAATACCGCTAAACTCCAACAACAATGCAGAAGCATCGACTGCCTGTGTGTGGCATGCAATCCAACAATGTCAACACCCCTTTCGATGGGTGCTTGTTCAATAAAAACACAAAAACAAAAATATACCTGGGTGTCAGTTTTTTCAGTCAGTTAAAGGTTGTAGCTGTTCTTGTCTATAGCCTTGAATTTAAACCGCAGGATATAACACAGAATATAAGAAATTAGTTATTATACATGGTCACTTCTTCTGAATGAAACTTTTATGGATAATCCCTTTGCAATGGGGATTGGACCACATCACCCCGATCATTTTGTAAGCTAGTGCACTGTTGTAGTCCATTAATTAATTTGTATGCAAACATTGTATCACTGAGATGATCCGTGCATGATCTATTCATAATAACAAAATCAAATAAATAAATAAACGAAAATAAATAAAATTTTCGATCGCTTACTGATTTCACACACATGGCAAGTTAACCATATTAAACCCTTGTCAATAAACACACATTTATTTTTAGGAATATGCATCATGTAAATATTACAAGATATTAGTACAGGACAGGCAATACATGCACGCTAAAGCCCGTATACCTCCGTTTATATTTTGCTTTGGTAGCGAATATTCCCAAACAGTTCAAATAACAACAAAACAATTTACAGGACATGCACATGGAGCCTTCACGGACCCTGAGTTTGTTTCCACTTCACTTGTTAGCCTTGCCCACAGATAAGCCTATAATATAGTATATAGTATAATATAAGCCTAAATTATGTCATGAAGCCAGGAATAAGTGATAAGCAAGTAATAAATACTGCAGTCATTAAACCGTACAGTAACTAAATCAATATGATGCAGTTTGGTTAGAAGTTGAGGGTGAGGGCTAGTCAGCTTTATTCTGACAGTAAAACAAACAATGCCCATCAAATTTCTACTAGACTATCAATTTTTATTCTCATCAAGACATGAATTGTATGCTGACACTAGATAAACAGAGATAATTGTGTTCTATTTCTGTCTCAGAAACAATATGAGGGGCGCAGATAACCATTATCATTGGTGCAAATCCCACATCGCCTTTCCGGCCCACCCAATCGTTTGTTTCTCGAAGGGGTGTAGGGTTTCTTTAAAAGCTGATTCTGGAGCCGACGAGCACAGGATCTACTGACTTGCACAGGAAAATCTACAGTCGGCAAAATGGTTGAATGGTCAGACTTCGAGCGCGCCACCATCCAGGACATCTTCTCTAAGATGGAGTATGAGGTCGTTGGACCTGCAGCTCTTTCCAGGTCAGATGTTTTTTTGTTTTGGTTTGTTTTTTACATTAATAATGAATATTATTTATACCCTGTACGCAAAAATGTTCTTTCTTTCTCTACATATTTAATCTCATTATCATACCCAGTAAAATGTTTTGCATGTTCCCTCAGGTGTCTGGTCGTTTACCCCTGGACTCAGAGGTATTTCGGCAACTTTGGAAACCTCTACAACGCCGCTGCTATCATTGCAAATCCGATGGTCGCAAAACACGGAACAACCATCCTCCACGGTCTGGACCGGGCTGTGAAGAACATGGACGACATCAAGGCCACATATGCAGAACTGAGCGTGCTGCACTCCGAGAAACTGCACGTGGACCCTGACAATTTCAAGGTAAAGTTGTGGAACTGTAACTACTGTTATCCATATTCAACCATTATTCAACAAACGCATTTCATGTTAATGTTTTCTGATGCTTGTTGTCTTGCAGCTGTTGTCTGACTGCCTGACCATTGTGGTTGCTGCAAAGCTGGGTAAAGCCTTCACTGGTGATGTCCAGGCAGCTTTTCAGAAGTTCCTGGCTGTGGTGGTGTCCTCCCTGGGAATGCAGTACCACTAAGATGCTGCTTATTTGTTTAAAAGCACTTTGTTTTTTTCTCAAAAGCAAATAAAAAAATCAGCAAATTCAACAAGTTGTTTGCCAATTAACTGTAATCATAAATTAATGTCCATTTGGGATAAAAAATATTATTTTGACTGACCAGACACAGGAAGTATAGACAGAAACACTATAGCACTGATGAAATGTGGCAACAGTGAACATTTCTTTAAAAAAGATACTACCATCATCACGTAACATAAACAAAGTTCTTATTATATTATTGTTATTATCATTATAGAGGAAAATATGTCAGGTTGGTTATATTAATAGTTCCACAAATACATTGTTCATGATGTGGTATTTGGATCACCACTTGAACAGGTAAAAAAAGCACTGATGAAATGTGGCAACAAGAAACTGTCTTTAAAAAAAACTACTCCAGCTAAATAACACAAAGATGAAACATGATTGAAATAAATTAGATAATAAAAATAAAAAAACAATGTCTTGATTATATAATCCTTGACATTATTGTTGTTATCACTGAAGATATAACAAAGGGCAGGTTGTGTGTCTGTAGAATAGTTCCACAAATATATTGTTGCCTTTAAATGTTCATGATGTTCATGATGTTCGCAGGATTAGATAAAAGAAAAGTAGGATTTAAAGCAAAAAGTTGACAAATAATAAGGTTTATATTTATTGCTAGTTTGTTTTCCAAAAGACTGGGATACACGTATATGTAACAAATGTTACAACTGCTGTCCCTATAAGTTTAACTGTATGGTTGCAACTAACAATTCATTTTTTAAATGAATCTTCTAATTATTTTGGAAATAACTTCTTTAGTCTAGAAAATGTTGTTTCCCAGAATTCAAATTTCGTGTTTTGTTTTGTCAGACAAACAAGATATCCACTTTAGAATGGTATAAAACAGTTTTTGCAACAACAAAAACACTATAATAATTATTAAAACAGTTTACATTCATTTTATGTCACTGACTAATCAATTAATCGAGTGTAAAACTTGACTGGATTTTTATTTAATTCAAATTTTTCTTGTAGTTGAGACTTTTGATCTACTCTCAAATGACACAACAAAAAACAAACCAGAAAAACAATTGCTTTGTATTTTTGCATTCATGCATTTATTAATCATCATGCAATGTAAGCTCATGCTGCAGTCGCCATCATCTTCTCCTGCTGTTTATTGATATTTCTCTGCCAGAGTCAGAGCCAGAGAAGCCAGGAACTTGTCCATAGCCACATGGACCTCAGGAGTGAAGTTAGTGGGGAACATGATGGCCATGACCACAAGAATGTTGTGGGAGAGAATCTGTCAAAGGAAGACAATCACACAGATGTTACATTTGAGTTTTTAGATGTCCAACACTTAATGATCAGCCAATACTCCAATTTCAACATGTATAGGCCGAAAGAGGAACAGCACAGTAACATATTGGCTTTTAAATAGTCATTATTAAGTACTTATTAATGCCTTATTCTGCATGGCCTTATTATACAACCAGTAAGCCATTAACTAAGAGTTTTCCCTCAATAACCTCAGAATTATTGCTTATCAGTAGTAAGTTAAGAGGTTGTTGTATATGAATTACGATCTCAATATGCTTTGCTTAGTATGGACTAAGGTGGTAGTATCACAAGAATAGTTATTCTCCCTTAATAACACTTAATGAATATGGTCTGTTCTTACATAACAAAACACAAAACTACAAGTGTTAATAGTGTCCAAATAACTCTAAATTAAGTCTTTGTTACTTAGAATATGTTCCCCATACTAAAGTGACATCTTGATCATTACTAATTCACTAATAGTTGAACACTTATTAACCAACACATGTTCCCTAATCTAAAGTTGCCTCCTTTTCACACTTAGTTAATATATTATGGCATATAACTACTGCAATGAACAAGTGATGGGTTACACCTTTGAAAAAAATGGATCTATCTATAGGTTCCCTGTCATTCAGTGGTAGAAAAACAAAGACAGCACAAAGACGCCGTTTCGTTCAGTGCTTGGAGAGTGAAGAGGGAAATTTAAGTTAAGCGCTAGCCTGTTAATTGAAACTCCCCCTGAGTTTTGTAAGCACATCCCCGGCCGTTTACATAGTTAAAGAGTAGTAAACCCTCCTATTTATCTGCAGTGTAGAGGCTAATTAGCTAATGTAATGTTAAGCTAGCCGAGTGGTGAGCTGGGTGAATAGTAGGAAAGAAACATTAACATTAACATAAAATGTGAATGTAGGTGCATGTAATGCTTTAGTATGAACCAAATTTTGGAATTAAAAATAAATTATGCACTATGCAGTCATTAGAACAAGAAGAGCTTTTGAATCTTGTGTGGATTATTTAAGTTACATGTTGCCGGTTATAGTGACATGAATTTTTTTATTTTTACAGCCTAAGGCCAAGAAGAAATTGTCCCTAAAAGTCCCCAAAGATGACTCGATGGCAGAGGTGACCAAAAATGATCTGGATGGTAAATATTTCTCTTTCAACTTTCAAGGAACTTTAATACTTAAATAATTAGCTTTTCCAAATGTGTTTAAACATTTAAAGTCCTCTATTCATATGTTTTTTTTGTTGTACCTATGCCATTCTGTAGGTCCTGAAGATAAAGGAAGCTCTGCTCCAAGTTGCAGCAGTATAAACAGCATTGGATCAGGTAATGATTTCTCATTTTCTAGCAGTGTATCTTTTTTGTCTAAAATTACAGTTTCATTTCTTGCTAGTGATTTTTCTGCCTGGGATTAAAGTTGTTGGCAGATTTTGTCAGTATACATGTGCTTACAAATCAAGTTAAGGCACACACCATATCTGGTCCACTACCTCTGTTGCACGCATGTCATTCTCTCTCTCTTGCTCTCGCTCTCACTCACTCAATATTGTCAAATCATAATCTTTTTTTGTATCCTGCTCTCATTTTTGTTTTTAAGGATCAATCTCCAAAGTGGAGTTCCTAGAAGCCAGGATCCAATGGCAAGAAAAAATAATAAAGGATCTTGAGCAAGAGCGCAATTTTTGCGTGAGCAAATCATGGGAAAGAAGAAATCATGTCAGTGATTTGGGAGCAACTTGTATCTGCAAAATATAATGTAATTGTAATGAAAGGTGTGATATATCTTCATAACAATCTGATCTTTGTCTCATCTATCCTCTATTTGATCAAAGCTCAGCCAAATGTATTTTCTTTGGAGGACGATGATGAGGATGATGATGGCAATATGGAGGAAGATGACGTCATTCCCCCATCTTCTCCAGACATCAGTGAGTCCTCGGACAGTGTTGTTGTCATCCAAAGACGAAAGACACGTCGGACACAGCCACCTGCATCTGCAACTGCGGCTGTGCCTGGAAAAGCTCATGTGAGAGGTAAGAATGGCATAACTTGAACCACCTGCCCTGTTGGCAACAAGTGGTCATGAAAAGTAATTATTAAGAAAAGCGTTGGAAGAGCTTTTAAAAATATGTTCTGAAGTAATTATGAGGCAAAAATTAAATGTCTAAAGTCAAAAATGTGGCTTTCATCAAGAATAAAGCTCCATTTTATTTTGCAGCATTCACACTAATTATTATTCAACATCAAATGTATTGCTAGAAAGATTTGTCTCTCAGAAGTAAAAATAATTCTGAACCGTAAGACTTACCAACTAAACTTACAGAGTATCATTTTTGTATTGAATTCTGAACCACATATTGTGCATGGAATCATATCAGGAGATGAGCAGATTGTCCCATTCTTAGAATATGCTTCATACTTTTATCAAAAAAGAGGTGACTAGTTTGAGCAATTTCAGCTGACCTTAAGCCGTTGTTTGTGCTCATTTCTCGTGTTCTTTTGTTTTTGTTTTATATATTTTTCAGTGAAAGGGCCAGCTGAGGTTATCAGCAGATATAAAAAAAAGTCTTGAAAAGCTTAAGCAAAGTCCGCACCATGACTGAAGCCTTCAGAATCAATGGCGTGGACCGGGGAACCATCAAGATGACTGCTGCAATTGCAGAGCTCAACATTGTGGATCCTGAAACCTTCGAGACTCTGAAGTATGATCCTGCAACTGAGACCCTGCAGTCATTTGCTAAGAGATGTGCAACCCACATTACCCCTGAGAAGAAGAGCATTATAGAGGACATGAAGGCCAAATGCCAACTCCTGCCCTTGTTGATGAAATATTAAGACCTGATACAGTAATTATAGAGCAAGTTTAGGCTGTGAAAGTGCAATGTTTGTTGAGTTCAGTACATTTGTTCTAAGCGTTGACAAGTGTAGTGTAGCTGATAAAGAGCAAGTTCATGTTGAGCTGTGCAGGTTTTATATTTTTTAGATTGTGCAATATTTTGTATTTTTGTACCTAATATTGTTGTTTTTTGTAAGCAGGCAGATTTTGGTTAAAGGATCATACAGACTTTCAACAATAGAGTACCTGTATTATCATACAGTATGACCTGCTTATACATTTGATACCATATTGTATGACATGTTTATATACACTGATACTTGTCAGTGTTTGAATTTTCAGGCAGACCCCATTACCTGTAAGTTAAACTACACAGCAAGTTCACACAGTATTTGTTGTCAGCCTTGGGAAAACCTGAACCAGCTGAACCAGTGGTCTAATAAATGAGGTATTTGTACTTGTACTGTCTTTGTTATTCTACCACTGAATGAGAGGGAACCTATAGATAGATCCATTTTTTTCAAAGGTGTAACCCATCACTTGTTCATTGCAGTAGTTATGTGCCATAATATATTAACTAAGTGTGAAAAGGAGGCAACTTTAGATTAGGGAACATGTGTTGGTTAATAAGTGTTCAACTATTAGTGAATTAGTAATGATCAAGATGTCACTTTAGTATGGGGAACATATTCTAAGTCACAAAGACTTAATATAGAGTTATTAGGACATATTAGCATATTGAGATGGTAATTCATATACAACAACTTCTTAACTTACTACTAATAAGCAATAATTCTGAGGTTATTGAGGGAAAACTCTTAGTTAATGGCTTACTGGTTGTATAATAAGGCCATGCAGAATAAGGCATTAATAAGTATTAATAATGACTATTTAAGAGCCAATATGTTACTAATTTACATGCTAATAAACAACTAATTAATGGTGAATTGGTGTACCTTAATATAAAGTGTTACCGATTTTTTTTTTTTTAAATCAAATTCATTCACTAACAAGTACAAAATTGCCATGTATTTTGTATTCAGTCAAGGACTACATTACAAAGTAATCTGACCCAACCCAGTCTATATCACAACCACCTGTTGGTGTACTGATAGCTAAGCAGAGCTAGAAAAAAATAGCCTAGGGTGTACATGTTCGGCAGAGATAACATTAACAGACTATAAATAGAACAACTTGGTGTTTGCTCCATCTTGCCTGTGCTCAGGTGGTCATTCAATATGTTTTATCTTTTTTTAATGTGCGATCATTCCGCACTGAACTTTAATGATCGCTGTCCAAGGTGCTGATCCTGGGACCTCCAGGGCGAGGTTCAGGTCCACAGTTGGTTTTTGCTGTGCGGGTAAACCTGTTTTCCCTGCCAACAAATTGTGAACACTTGAATTTGCGCCCATGTGACCAAAAGATACTGACAGAAACGGAAAATAAGACTGTAAAACCCTTTTTACATAATTGCCTTTTAAACACACTTGATATCTGGATCCTGTCATTTTAATATATATTTTTTTTTTACGTGTGAGGCCTTTTCTTTTACTTTGCATCAGACTTTACGGTCAGAAAATAAACATTTCATATGTTTCAGAAAGACAAGTGGTTTCTGTCTCAGAAACAATATGAGAGGCGCAGATAACCATTATCATTGGTGCAAATCCCACATCGTTTTTCCGGCCCACCCAATCGTTTGTTTCTCGAAGGGGTGTAGGGTTTCTTTAAAAGCTGGTTCTGGAGCCGACGAGCACAGGATCTACTGACCTGAACAGGAAAATCTACAGACGGCAAAATGGTTGAATGGTCAGACTTCGAGCGCGCCACCATCCAGGACATCTTCTCTAAGATGGAGTATGAGGTCGTTGGACCTGCAGCTCTTTCCAGGTCAGATGTTTGTTTTGTTTTTTTACATTAATAATCAAGGATTATTATTTGTGCACTGTATGCACGCATGTTCATATTCCTGGAACACCTATTTAATCTCATTATTTTAGCCTGTAACGTTTATCTTTTTGCATGTTCCCTCAGGTGTCTGGTCGTTTACCCCTGGACTCAGAGGTATTTCGGCAACTTTGGAAACCTCTACAACGCCGCTGCTATCATTGCGAATCCGTTGGTCGCAAAACACGGAACAACCATCCTCCACGGTCTGGACCGGGCTGTGAAGAACATGGACGACATCAAGGCCACATATGCAGAACTGAGCGTGCTGCACTCCGAGAAACTGCACGTGGACCCTGACAATTTCAAGGTAAAGTTGTGGAACTGTAACTACTGTTATCCATATTCAACCATTATTCAACAAACGCATTTCATGTTAATGTTTTCTGATGCTTGTTGTCTTGCAGCTGTTGTCTGACTGCCTGACCATTGTGGTTGCTGCAAAGCTGGGTAAAGCCTTCACTGGTGATGTCCAGGCAGCTTTTCAGAAGTTCCTGGCTGTGGTGGTGTCCTCCCTGGGAATGCAGTACCACTAAGAAGACTATCACATGCTGTTTATTTGTTTAAAAGCTCTTTGTTTTTTTTCTCAAAAGCAAATAAAAAATCAGCAAATTCAACAAGTTGTTTTCCTGTAATTATACTTAAATTGCATGTAAACATAAATTAATGTCCATTTGGGATAAAAAATATTATTTTGACTGACCAGACACAGGAAGTATAGACAGAAACACTATAGCACTGATGAAATGTGGCAACAGTGAACATTTCTTTAAAAAAGATACTACCATCATCTCGTAACATAAACAAAGTCTTATTATATTATTGTTATTATCATTATAGAGGAAAATATGTCAGGTTGGTTACATTAATAGTTCCACAAATATATTGTTCATGATGTGGTACTTGGATCACCTTTTTCACTTGGAAAAAAAAAAAAAAGTAGAATTTAAAAGAAAAGGTTCACAATTTATCAGGTTTACCATCCAAAGTGCAGTTTTTCTGTTTCAGGCTAATTCCTTGTGGTCTTCTGCTTTATTATCAATTGAATGCAGAAAGTTTAATATTTTATATTCTTAATTCAACAACAGTATAATAATAACAATATTGATAACACTACTACTAATAATACTGATAATAATGATAATAATAATAATAATAAGAAGAAGAAGAAGAAGAAGAAGAAGAAGAAGAAGCACAAATATGTTTTTTTTTTTTCAAGGCTGACAGTTGTCACATGACACTCATGAGTTGTTACATAGGGCCTATTTCATGTAACAAGGGACTAATGCCACATAGGAAGTTAATTTATCCAAATGTTCTAAGAAAAATGTTGATTTCGCTAAAACATTGTATTTGAAATTTTTAGGATTTGCACAAAGTGATAACGTGTAACTATTTTATATTTTTTGTTTTCTAAAAATTATCACTACAGATGTTACAAATGCAACTAATGGTTATTTTTATTATCGATGACTCGGCAAATTAGTGTGTAAATTACTTGATGAATCACTTATCAAATGTCAGAAAATAGTGAAAAATGCCCATCAAAGTTTCCCAGGGTTCAAATGTCTTTTGTCAGACAAACAGTACTAAGATATTAAATTTATAGTGACATAAAACAGAGAACATTGAAGAAGATGGAATTACAGAATGTTTTTACCTAAAAAGTAACAATAATTCATTATCAAAACTAATCAATTAATCAACTAATTGTTGCAGCTGTAATGTTAAGTGTAAAACTTGACTGGATTTTTTAAAATTCTGTCTTGTAGTTGAGACTTTTGATCTACTCTCAAATGACACAAATCATCACAAACAAACCAGAAAAACAATTGCTTTGCATTTTTGCATTCATGCATTTATTGATCATCATGCAATGTAAGCTCATGCTGCAGTCTCCGTCATCTTCTCCTGCTGTTTATCTGTATTTCTCAGCCAGGGCCAGAGCCAGAGCAGCCAGGAACTTGTCCATAGCCACATGGACCTCAGGAGTGAAGTCAGTGGGGAACATGATAGCCATGACCACAAGGATGTTGTGGGAGAGAATCTGTCAAAAGAAGACAGTCACACAGATGTTACATTTGAGTTTTTAGATGTCCAACACTTAATGATCAGTCCATACTCCAATTTTCATATGTATAGGCCAAAAGAAGAACAGCATTATCTACATTCAGTTAGAGGAACGCTTCATATCATATTATCTTTTAAAAACTTGAGCTCTGCACCTTGAAGTTAGCAGGGTCCACACGCAGAGTGAAGGCATGCAGCTCACTGAGGCTCAGAAGACCTCCTTTCAGGTCGTCGATTTTGGTCACAGCATCTGCAACTCCAGTCATCACAGTTATTCCGTGCTTCCTGGCTGAGGGAGAGGTGGGGCTCTGGTCCTTCCAGTGGGCGAAGTAAGTCTTGGTCTGCGGGTACACAGCCAGCATCCTGGGTAAAAAATAAAATAAAAAACATTTATACATGGGTGAGTAGGTATATAAATGAATCAATTAATGTTGGAGCATTTTATATCAGTCCGAATGTTCTTATCTACACCCCCCCTCGTGGTCCAATTGTTGAAAAACGCGTGCTAAAGTGCCCCCTTGGGAGCCAAAACACGTGTTAAGTGCCCTCTATAGTGGTGAGGACACGGTATATGTGCCCTTTTTTTTCTTTCCACCCCTGCCCTTCAAAAAGTCTGTGCACGCCACTGTATACATGAGTGAGTAGGTATGTAAATGAATCAATTCATGTTGGAGCATTTTATATCAGTCAGTATGTTCTTATCTTTACCTGGCCAGAGCATCGGCGCCAATGTCCTCTGCCTTTCCGGACACTTTAGCCCAGAAGGTTCTGACTGCGTCCTTGTCCTTAGCAGTGAGACTGGTCATCTTGTCTGTTGATTGAGAGTTGCTCAATGCCGTGATGAGACCAAACCATGGGAGGTTTTTATGCTTGAAACAGAGCAAGGCCACACCCGGGACCTCCTCCAAGATAGTGAGACTCAAGAAACAAAAATCTTCTCATCTTCTCATTGCACTTTCTTTGAATTTCATCGCTCAACCTCAATATTTTCAAATTATGTGGATATTTTGGAAAATACAATCCAAAAATTCCACTGACAAACGCTGGCTGCTGAAAGGTTTATGTTCTACATTAATTAGGTCAATGTTGAAATTAATGTTTTAAGCCACTGAAAATAGCATAGACTTATAGCAAGATTTTAAGCTGAGTGAGCTTTAATTTATTCTTTTATTCATTTTCCAGCAGGATCTAGTAAATGCGACTT